TGTAATCCCAGCACTTGGGAGGCTGAGGCAGGAGGATCATTGTGAGTTCGAGACCAGCCTGGGCTACAAAGTGAGCTCAAGGCCAGCCTGAACTCCATATCGAGACCCTGTCTCAAAAAAATAGAAAAGAAAAGAAAAGAAAAGAAAAGAAAAGAAAAGGGATGCAATAGGGCCTTCTTGCATATTTGGCTCTCGGGCAGAACTCCTCAAGCTGCCATCCAAGGAGGAACTCCAGGAACTCCAGGATGGTCAGCAGGCCTGCTAAACTGCAGCCGAAGTTAAGGGCCCATAACCGTTAGCAGATTTGTAAAGGGAGAACCAGCATTGGAGCAGCGCAGGGAACTGACTGGGAGAAGGAAAACTAACGGGCTTCGAGGGCTCAGTCGCAGGTTGGCCCACAGCAGCCTGGAGTGGATCTGCCGCCTCTTGGGAAGTGACCATTCTCATCTAGATCTGCGTAGAACGTGACTATTCCAGCTACCAGGCCCTGGGCCTTTGCCAGCTGGTTCCCAGACTAACCAGCCTGCTCCAGGGTCTGGACCTGGCCCTGCCTTTTCCAGTTAAGAGGGCATGATTTCCTGAAGCTGAGAGATCTGGAGGGCCTCCGCCCCTCAGCACTAATCATCTCCCACACGGGGATGGGGCGGGCGCTTGGCTCCTCTTGTCCCTTCCCGAAGGGGTGTCGGGCCTGTGGCCACAGTGGGCTGTGGAAAGGAACCCATTCTTTGGAGCTAAACGATGTGTTTATCTTTCCGCCTAGGCTCCATCCTTACAGGAGAAATTCCTGACCTCAGGATTTCCTTTAAGGACATGGGACAAAAGAGTTCAAAAGATCTTCGTAACAATTAGTCACTGCCAGCACTAAGCAGCTATAATTTCTAAGAACATGTTCAGCTCGAAGGTTCGGTGATTCTACCCATTTTACCCAGGAAAATTACTAATGAGAGTTTCAAAGCAATGGCTCACAGCCTCTGCCCTGAGTTGTGAAAATAACATGCCCAAGTCTCCATGAGAAAGAAAAGTCACGTATGGTGACACACGCCTATAATTTACTCTGAGACACCAAGGTAAGAAATATCCTCCTCAAACAGCAAGGTTAGGGGGAGCTTCAGTCACATCTTAGGAGGGTCTCGCCCTTCTCCAAAGCCATCTATAAGACCACGGCTGTCCAGTCCACAGAGACATGGACCAGGTCCAGGTGGCTAGTGTTTCTCATTCCTGGGGCCCTCTTCGTGCCCCATGAAACATATTGTGTCTCATCAGAGGTCTGGCTGCCAGGGGTCACTGCTTGCTCTGAGTTCTCATTGAATCAACCACCTACCTATTTCCTCCAGTTCTAGGAGATATCACCTTTGCTGGGGTAGAGTAGAGCACACCTGTGTCTCACACTAAACTATTTCTTTGCCCTTGACATTTGAGAAGCCCTTGGTCCCCAGCACTATTTTCTTCTTGAATGGCAAAAGGAAAATTGTCTCTCAAGAAAATAAGGCCTGCTGGGCTGGGAATGAAGCTCAGCAGCATAAGCGCCTGCCTGGCAAGGGCAAGGTCCTGAGTTCAAGTACCCGTACCAAAAAAAAAGAAAAGAAAAGAAAAGAAAAGAAGCCCTGCTGTGCACCAGGTACTTTGTTACATAGTTCTTAAAGCTATTTTATTTACAAGACTCTTCGCCTACTTTATGGAGGAGAGCTAGCAAACCATGACACACTATAGGAGTGAAAAGTAATGGTAAAAACACGGCAAGTGACTCCTCTGTGCTCGTCACTTTGCAAGCTTTGACTTCTGCCCACATCCCCCACAATGATGTGCTGTTCACCCTTTTACCCGGAAGGCAGCAGAGAAGTGAAATAACCCACCCAGGTCTAAGCTATCAAGCCTTAGAGCCAGAATCTGAACCCAGCCAGTCTTGGCCTTACAACCCGTGATTTATTTATTTATATATTTTTGGTTTTTTGAGACAGAGTTTCACTTTGTAGTGCAGGCTGGTCTTGATCTCACTGTGTAGCCCAGGCTGGCCTCCAACTCACAGTGATCCTCCTGCCTCAGCCTCCTGAGCGCTGGGATCACAGGTGTGCACCACCATGCC